TCCCTCAGCTCTTCAGCTCAAGGCTAGCGCTCTACCACTTGAGCCATAGCGCCACTTCCGGCTTTATTTTTCTGCTTATATGGTGCTGAGGAATGGAACCCAGAGCCTCATGCATTCAAGGCAAGCTCTCTACCACTGAGCCACCTTCCCAGTCCTCACTTTTTACTTTTGTAGTTCCCCATTTAAAAAAATTTAGAGCTGGGCGCCTATGGCTTACACCTGCAATCCTAGCTACTCAGGAGGCTGAGAACTGAAGATCAGGATTCAAAGCCAGCTGGAGCAGGAAAGTCCTTGAGACTCTTATATCCAATAAACCACCAGAAAACCGTAAGTGGTGCTTTGGCTAAGAGGTAGAGCCCTGGCCTTGAGCTAAATAGCTCAGAGACAGCTTCCAGGCCCTGAATTCAAGCCCTACAACTGACACCTGCGTCCCCTTCTCCCCCCCCAAAAAAAAAATTGAATCATGTTAACTTTTATTTTGTGTGTGTGTGCTACTCTTATTTGGCTTGTTTTTGCTTCTAGCTAGCACTGTACCACTTGAGACACACCTCCAGTCCCAGCCTTTTGCTGTTTTATTTTGGTTGATTGGCTTAAACTCAGGGCCTGGATGCTGCCCTTGCAGTTTTTCACGCAAGGGGAGCAGTCTACCACTGTGAGCCACAGTGCCACTTCCAGTTTTCTAGTGGTTAATTGTAAATAAGAGTCTCATGGACTTTGCTGCCCAGGCTGGCTCTGAACCATGATCTTCTGAACTCAGCCTCTTAAGTAACTGTCACAGCTTCCTGAGTAGCTGGATTGCAGTTTTGTGCCACCATGCCCATCTTATCAAGTGCCACCATTCTCATTTTAATATGCATTTGTAAACTAAGAATATAAATCTTTTTGTCCCTCCTGTTCCACACTATGGAATAATCTTCAGTTCTTTGGCCTGGCATGTAAGACCTGCCTTCCTTTCTCATTTTTGCAGTTTGTTTTTCCCATTTTATAACCTTATCATGAGATTTTCTTTCTTTCTTTCTTTCTTTTTTTTTTTTTTTTTGCCTAGGGCTTGAACTCAGGGCCTGGGCACTGTCTCTGAGTTTGTTTTGCTCACGACTAGCACTCTACCACTTAAGCCACAGCACCACTTCTGGCCTTTTCTGTTTCTGTAGTATTGAGGAATTGAACCCAGGGCTTCATGTATGTTAGGCAAGCACTCTACCACTAAGCCACATTCTTAGCCCCCAAATTAGCACTCTTTTCTTTCTTTTTTTTTTTGTTGGTCGTGGGGCTTGAACTCGTCCTGGGTTCTGTCCTTGAGCTCTTCAGCTCAAAGTTAGCCGTCTACCACTTTAGCCACAGTGCCACTTTTAGTTTTCTGGTGGTTAATTGGAGATAAGAGTCTCACAGACTTCCCTGCCTGGACTGGCTTTGAACCATGATCCTCAAATCTCAGCCTTCTGAGTAGCTAGGATTTACAGGCATGAGCCATTGGCTCCCAGCAGAACTTTTTTTTTTGGGGGGGGGGGACCAGTCGTGGGGCCTGAACTCTGGGCCTGGTTGTCCCTCAGCTCTTCAGCTCAAAGCTAGCGCTCTACCATTTGAGCCACAGTGCCACTTCTGGCTTTTTTCTTTTTGCTTATGTGGTGCTGAGGAATCGAACCCAGGGCCTCAGACATGCAAGGCAAGCGCTCTACCACTGAGCCACCTTCCCAGCCCTACTTTTTTTTTTTTTTTGGTCCAGTTGTAGGGCCTGAACTCTGAACTCTGGGTCTGGGCGCTGTCCCTCAGCTCTTCAGCTCAAGGCTAGCACTCTACCACTAGAGCCACAGTGCCACTTCTGGCTTTTTTTTTCTGCTTATGTGGTGCTGAGAAATCGAACCCAGGGCCTCATACATGCAAGGCAAGCGCTCTACCACTGAGCCACCTTCCCAGCCCCTAGCAGCACTTTCTTAAACTAAATTAAAAATTC